AAAAAAAAAAAAAAAAAAAAAGAAACCTAACCCATTGAGCAGTGGCAGGTTGGAGAGAAAAGAGAAAGCTTATGGAAGGTGAGAAGTGTGAGACTGAGAGTTGGGGTCTGGAAAGTCAGGGTGGAGTTGGATGGTGTGAACCTAAGAAAAGTCCTCTGTGGCAAAAAGTGTTGTTGTTGTTGTTGTTTTTGCTCCTGGAATTGTCTTAGAGGAGAGCTGAGAGTTTTCTGTCTTGGGTCACAAATGGCCTGTGTCCTTATGTCCTCACACAGAATTGAAACTCTTGCTTCTCTGGTGCTGAGCCAGCTCTTGGAGAGTCTGGGAAGTTGGTTTTGAGGCTGTTTTACAGAAATGATCCTGGATCTTAATCTTCCTGAATTCCCCTGAGTTCTACAACATTGCGGGGAATCTTTATGCATCTTTGTGGGGCTTTGTCAGCATGTGTACAACTCCAGTTTCAAAACTGTCTTTGCTATCAGAAACCTGGGCACCAGGATTCTCATTCAAGTCATAGCAGAGAGACCTGGGGAATGCAGGAGGTGGGTAGCAGGGAAGGGCCTGCTTTGTGAGGCATGGTGGTAGACACTGGAAGGCATGGTATCCTAGAGGCTCTTTCTCAAGAGTTCCATTGTCCAAGAGCACCCAGGGGAGACCATCCTCTTGCGATACGGACTGAAGTTTCGACCCAACAAGGTGGTGATCAGTTTAGATGATTTTAGTGGAGATGAGTCTGTTCAGAACTCTCCCCAGGCCTCTAAACTGACTTATGTCCAGCCTTTCTCAGCTGTGAGCTGACCTGTCTGGCCTCCCCCTCACAGATCTCCTGATGATGGGGCGCAGCCCTGGGTTTGCCATGCAGCACATCGTGGGTGTGCCCCACGTACTGGTTCGGAGGGGCCTCCTTGGAAGGGACCTCTTTATGACCAGGACTGTCTGCAGCCCAGGCCCCAGCCAGCCCAGAGAGAAAAGACCTGAGGAGGTGGCCCTTGGGCTGCATCACCGCCTTCCAGCACTGGGAAGAACCCTGGGGCACAGTATTCAGCAACGAGTGACCTCCACAGCCAAGACTTGGTGGGACAGATATGAAGAGTTTGTTGGACTCAATGAGGTTCGAGAGGCCCAGGGAAAGGTGACGGAGGTGAGGAAGGGAGCCGGGGTGGCTGGCTCTGCCCTTAGACTTGGGAAATGTGCCAAACCAGCCATATGGTGCTGGGTGCGACATCCAGACTTGTGTTTGGCCTCATTTCTCACGTGGAAACTTGGGCTTGATGCTTCACATGGGTGAAGGTCTCCACATAACTGTGCCACCTACTTTCCCTGAAAACAGTTACTGTGTACCAGTACGTCCCTGGCATTAACATCTGTTCTGTGAAGCCAGAAAATATTTCCTTTACGGACTGTTTGGGGGTTGATGGTGAGAGTTACCTGGGGCTTGCTGCGATACTGTTACCGTGTGTAATTACAACATCTATTGTGAAGGTGGAGGGCACTGGGAAATGTCACACTGCGATGTGGAAAGAGCTGCCTGTGGTTGTCAAGTCCTTCGTGGTGGCAGAAATGCATTCTGCCATCTTTGTTCCTACTCATTCTTAGGCATGGAGTAGTGTAGCGAGGTGGGAAGAACCTGGGGTTCTGCTGGGGCTTTGAAACAAACGATGCCGTCTCTTTCCTTGGAGATTGTGAGCTTGGCTGAGCTGGTGTTTCCAGGTCTATAAACTGGAGGCCACAGCAGTGCCTTTCATGGCACTGTTGTGAGGCATAAATTACGCAGCACACGGCAAACAGCCTACCAACACAGGTTCCTTACTGTGGTTTGTATCAGGCAAGAATAGACTAGGTTTGATTAACACAAATTGTTTGCATTGTTAGCTGTTTTCAGGTTTTTCAGGGCATGTTATTTCTGCTTGAATGGCTACATCTTGTGATTCTGATGGGCGTGGCCCAAGGCTGTACTTTGAGCACCACTGGGTGAGCCAGGATTAGTGTCTAAGGAATTCTGTTTCTCCCCTTTGCAGCTCACACCCCAGTGACCTCTTCTTAGCCACAGCCTCGCTGGGAATGCAGCTGAGCCTGTGTGGGTGTGGAGAGAAGGTGCAGATGGCCTCTGGTTTTCTCTCTGCAGGCAGAGAAAGTGTTCATGGTGGCTCGAGGGCTTGTCGGAGAGGCTCGGGAGGACTTGGAAGTTCAGCAGGCCAAGCTGAAGGAAGTGAGGGATCGCTTGGACCGTGTCTCCAGGGAGGACAGTCAGTACTTGGAACTGGCCACTCTCGAGCACAGGATGCTGCAGGTAGGCCCCTCAGGAGGCAGCCCTTTCGCACCTGGACAGTGACCCTTGCCTGGCAGATCATGGAGGTGCTGGGTGGCAACCCTGACTGGTCTGTGATCAGAGGCCTGGTACAGAGGTAAACCGAAGCTCCTATGGAGGGACAGGGCCCCAGGCTTCTAGAGCCTATCCATTTACTTCCTTCTGGAGTACTGGGGCCAACTGTTCAAGGCAGTGTAGCCTGGGACCCAGAATGCTGAGGAGGGAGAACTATGGAGGGGCTGGCCCAGGGAATGCTGGACACTTCCCTTTCTGTAGACATAAGTGCACCTCTGGTCAAACCCAGGACTGCTCAGGTGGGACGATCATGCAACTCACTTTGATCACTCCCAATTCTTCCGACCCAGCCAGGTTTGTGCTACCTTTATTCATTCAGCATTGGTCTATGAAACATGTACTCTGCCAGACACAAGGTAGTGAGCCATCTGCTGGTGGCTATAGCTGCGGGGCCACCTTGTGCCCATGTAACCCAATAACATGGCTTTGCTTCTGCAGGAGGAGAAGAGGCTTCGCACGGCTTATCTGCGTGCAGAAGACTCTGAGCGTGAGAAGTTCTGCCTCTTCTCTGCGGCTGTGCGGGAAAGTCATGACAAGGAGCGCACAAGGGCTGAGAGGACCAAGAACTGGTCCCTCATTGGCTCAGTCCTGGGGGCCCTGATTGGTGTGGCTGGCTCCACCTATGTGAACCGTGTCCGGCTACAGGAGCTGAAGGCCTTACTCTTGGAGGCACAGAAGGGGCCTGTGAGTCTTCAGGAGGCCATTCGAGAACAGGCATCTAGCTACTCGCTCCAGCAGAGGGACCTCCACAATCTCATGGTGGACTTGAGGGGCCTGGTACATGCTGCTGGGGCAGGGCAGGGCTCTGGGTTACAGGCAGGTACTCCCCCAACCAGAGACAGAGATGTAGATGTCCTTTCAGCTGCCTTGAAAGAGCAGCTCAGTCATTCCAGGCAGGTCCATTCATGTCTAGAAGGTTTACAAGAGCGGCTTGATGGCCTAGAAAAGACTTGTAGCCAAATGGCTGAGGTGGTTCAGCTTGTAAAGGCTGCAGCACACCCAGGCCTGGTGGAACCAGCAGACGGCGCTATGCCCAGCCCCCTGCTGGAGCAGGGGAGCATGATCTTGGCACTGTCGGACACGGAGCAGAGACTAGAAGCCCAAGTCAACAGGAACACCATCTACAGCACCCTGGTCACCTGTGTGACATTTGTGGCCACACTGCCTGTGCTCTACATGCTATTCAGGGCCAGCTAATCCCTGGCCCCTCCTTCAGAGGGTCTGAGGCAATAGCTGTGCATGTGGATTTAGTTAGAGAATAACAATGAAGCAAGCCTTTGGGGGGGTGCGCAACCTCAGCCTGAAGGAGCAGTATCTGTGTGGCTCACCAGTAGGCACGCTTTGCTTTGTAGGCAGGGTTCATTTACATTAATTATCAAAACTGTGCTAATGTCCGATTAAAATGTCCTGAGTTTTATTATTTAAAACAATCAGACTGAGTTTTTTTGTTTATTGAGAATCAAGATCCAAGACCTGAAGGTTGGGTCTGGAGTTGGAGTAGTTACCCCTTTAGTTTCTCTCTCATCTCCTCTTTGTCCTCTTTCCTGAACTGTTTTGGATGCACTCCTGAGACCTAGATTTTCATTTTGAATTTCCTGGCCTGCCCTCCACAACCTGACTGTCCTGTGTCAGATGGCCTGGGAGTTCCAGCAAGTGGAACCTAGCCCGCTGCTTACTCGTTGGTGACCATGGTTACTTCCCATCTCCTGGATCATTTTCTCTACCATGTGGGGCAGAACTTCCCGGTGTTAATACTGGAGGAGTGGTCAGAGGAGAGCAGGGAAGAGAGATTGGAGGAATGTTGATAAATGTTGCTGGGGACCTCAGTGTAGGGATTGGTAGCCAATCTGGATCCCTGGCACAGAGAGTGCTTTGGGCAGCACTGGTGTGTCACTAGGGCTGGGTGCACACCCACACACAGCCTGGGGTTAACTTCCACAGCCATGGGCAGAGCTCAGGCCACCAGTGGTGTGAATGGAGAGGCAGTGATAGGGAGGGGTCTCCCACAGGTGGGAGGTGCAGTGGGGCATGTGTATGACCTTTTCAGAGGGGAACCATGACACTTGATCTCCTGGACTAAATGGCCATGGGTGGCTTTTTTTGCCCTGGTAAACAGGAGCTTTGGGCTGGCTTTCAGTCCTGGTGTTGGAGTATTGTAGGTCTGACACATTGCAGATAACCCACTCCCCTTTGAAAGCTCAGGGGGCAGCTGTATGCAGGGGCTGCAGGTGGGGGCTTGTTCACTGGTGCCTGTGAAGAGCTAAGTGTCAGAACCTGTGGAGCCAGGAGTGTTTCCCTTAAGGCACATTTCCTTCTTGGAGTCCGGGCTCAGTCTTGGGCAGTGAGCATGGGCTAAATGCCCCCCATCCCAGTACTCAGCACTTGATCCCTCAATCACTCTATCCTTGGTGAGTAATGGCTCCCCAGAATGGCATGGGATGCAAAGACCCCTGCACTTAAAGTGTCCACGCTCCTCATAGGGCAGGAGGCCCCATGTCTGTGTACAGATGAAGGGGGCTGTGGGGTTTGGAAGTCCCAGTTCCCTCTGGGGTGAGGTAGGTCCTGAAGGGTGTGCACGTAGATGAATGGATTTGGGGAGGGAAGAATTCTGTGCATGTGGAGGGGGCTCCCACAAACTGCAGAGGCAGGAAAGCCAAAGTGGGTGAGGGACTGGGGCAGACTGTCCTGGCTGGGGTGGTGATGGGTGTGGGGGAGTTGCACAGAATGAGGTGGCGGGTCCGGGGTACAGGTGGGCAGTCTCTGAGGTCAGAGGCTAAGGATGAGGGATCCAGGGAGACATTGCTATGCTGGTGCAGACAAAGTGCTAAGCAGTGGTGGGAGGCAGTGATAGGGAGGGGTCTCCCACAGGTGGGAGGCGAAGTGGGGCATACGTATGACCTCTTTTCAGAGGGAAAGTGACCCTTGAACTCCTGGACTAAATGGCCGTGGGTGGCTTTGTTTGCCCTGGTAAACAGGAGCTTTGGTCTGGTATTCAGTCCTGGTGTTGGAGTACTGCAGGTCTGACACAAATTGCAGATAACCCACTCCCCTTTGAGAGCTTAAGGCAGCTGTATGCAGGAGCTGCAGGTGGGGACTGGACCAGCACCTGAACTCAAGTGCTGGAAGTGGGAGTGGAGGAAAAGGGGTGACCTGAGGGGTTGGGGAGGGAGAATTTGAAAGGCACAGAGCCTGGAAGATGAGTGACGGGAGGCCCTTGTTAGCAGGTGGGAGATGGGAAGAGGGTGTCTGTAGCTCTAGGGCAATAGCCAGTGTGGATGACCTGAACCTCAGTTTTCAGATGATGCCTGTGTGACAGTTTTGCCTCCCAGGATGCTGTGCCAATGGCCTTGAGCCAAAGTCCTCCAAAAGTCCTAATAGGATAGGCCAGGTTCTGGATCCTGAGTTAGCCGTAGGCATGCCAGGGTGTGAAGGGCCTTGCACAGGGGACAAATGGGCCCCAGGAGAGAACCCTTCTGCCAGCGTTTCCTTCTGCAGAAGGCCCAGATATTTGCCAGTGAGGGAGCCCAGACTTGCCCAACGCTTCCCAGCTTGGGGTGGGTCCAGGTCCGGGTCCAGGGAGGCTGAGAAGAAAGGAAAGAAGTGAGCCCTTGCTTGTGCGCCTCTGCAGCCCAGGTGCCCTGCCTGCACAGCCCCGCTAGAGGTGGTAACACCCCCATTTGCTGGTGAGCAAATAGGCTGGGGTGGGAGTTGGTGTCAGGTTACATGGCTTAGTTGATGGCGCAAGCCAGGTCCATAGCCCATGCTCTTCTCAAACAGCCAGAGGTGGGGGCCGGAAGGAGGGATTGGCTGCTGGGGAGTCTGGTGGGCAGGGCCAGGTGCGCAGGGAAGAAACAAGGCGCCTCGGAGTTCAGGCAAAGAAAGTTGACGGGTATGACCATCGGAGCCGGGGAAGGAAGGGAAAGGGAGCTCTGGGCGCAGGCAGCACGGGCCGGGCAGGTGAGGGACGCGGGTGCGACCCGGCTCTGGCTGGGCGGGAAGAGGCCGGGGCGCTGTTCCACCAGCACTTGCGGGTGCGGAGCGCGATCCCCCGCCTCGGCCCCTCGCGACCGGGAAAGCTCCCAGTTTCAGCTCCAACGCGGCAGGCAGGTGAGGCCGGCGGGGCGGGGCGGCCCTGGCTCCAGGGGTTCCCTCCTCACCCCCCAGGCGACCCGCGTTGCCATGGCGACAGCCGGGGTGCCGTCTGCCCCCCGCCCTGCCCCGTGCGGGAGGGGTCGAGTCCCCCGCCCTGGCCGACGCGGAGCCCGCGGGGCTGGAATGCGGGGTCCCGGGCGGCTCGGGGCCGCGCGCCCGGCTCTCGCGGCTGCTTCCGGCCTGGCCCGGGCGGCGGGCGGGGGGAGGGTGGCCCGGCAGGCGAGGGGGAAGGAGCGGAGCCGGGCCCGGCCGACGCGGCTTTGTCTCCTTTGTTCCCGGAGGTGGCAGCGCGGCGCGGGAGGGGCGGGCAGCGGGCGCAGTTTTCCGCCCCTCGGTCTCCGGGTAACAGCTGCGGCTTCGCCAGACCCGGGGGGAAGCCGCCGCGCGCAGAGCCTGACCCGGAGCGGCCGGCGCCCGCCTCGGCGCGCACATCCCGCGGGGCCCGGCCGGGTGGTGAGTGCGGGACTCGGGGCCGGGGCGGCGAGGACCCGGGCTCCCGAGGTGGAAAGGATCGGAGCCTCGATGCAGCTGGGCAGGGGCGGCCCGGGCGAGTGGTGGGCGGTTTCGGTCCTGAAAGTTGGGACCACACTCTCCGCGCGAAGGGAAACTCTGGCGGCTTCGCCTGGAACGCGATTGGGAGACTGAGGAGGTGGAGCTGCTCCTCCGCGCCCCCTCCTCGCCGCCGCCGCCGGGGACCGGGCGGCCCCTTCCCCGCCCTCTCAGGGCCACAGATGGGGTCCTCGCCTCGGGGTCCGGGGCCTGGGGAGGGTCGAGGACGAGCCGAGTGGGGAAGTCGGGGCTTCCCCTCAGTAGCAACAGCCCTTCCTGGCTGCTCCCGGTGGGACTGACAAAGGCAGACCTCGAGCCTCGCGGCCCCTAGAGGGGGTCCCTCCTCTCCACGCACACACACACATTCAATGGGTGATCCATGAGCGCCTTGGGTCATCGCAGGTGCCTGGTAAATGGTGGATCTCCCCACCCCTCCTCAACACACAGAAAACAGGGCGGGCAGCGGACACCACTGCACTGTCAATGAGTAACTCACCTCTGTGGTGCACCCTGGGAGCTGAGCAGGAGGGCTGAGCAGGAGGGCTGAGCAGGAGGGCTGAGCAGGAGGGCGAAACGGGAAGGCTGGTTTCCCACTGACTGGCAGGCAGAGCAAATGTGGGCTGTCCTACGGTCCCTGTGCAGGTGCAGAATGGCGGAGTTTGTGAGCCCCTTTTGTTGGCGAGGACAGCTCCACGGGGATCCGGGAGGTGCCTGCTCTGCAGACAGAAGTTGGGCAGTCTTGGGCCCGCTCAAAAGTCCCAAGGGTGGGCCCGCAGGGTGGGCCCGGAAGAGACTCCAGGCAGGCCTGGGCACAGGCAGAGTGAGACTTTGGCCGTGAGCCTGAGCAGGGCCTCAGATGTTGGGAGTGGGCAGTAGATCCAGGCTGTGTAAGTTGGGTATGTGAGGTCTGGTTCTAGATCAGCCTTTTCAGTCTGTCCTGGACTGGTCATTAATAAAAATGGAGCCAACGTCTTAACTTTGAGAGATCAAGTGGCTTAGAGGGGGTGTGGGGCCCCTATCTCCCCTACTTGTTGGGTTTCCTTGGCTGTGAAATTGGGGTTTGTTTGCCAGGCAGGGAGCATCTGCTCTGTGCTGTCTCTGCAAGTTGCTGGGGCCTCCACATCAGAGCCATACTCCCTTCCTTCAAGGAGCTTCAAGTCCAGAGTAGGAGGGTGGAACAGGGAGAAAAGTGACTCTGGTTGGCGTCACTAATGCCAGGCACACACTGCATCAGGTTTATGGTCAGAGCAATCTTGCCTCCCATTGTACAACTAGGAAATCTGAGGCTCGGAGAGCCTGAGGCAGAGCGGCCGTGTCTGTCCGTGCTGGGTAGGTGTGTCCATTCTGTCCACCACATGCAGTGCCTCTTCAGGAGCCTGGGAGGACAGGGGAGGCTCCCCAGCGAGATGATGTTTGGCATAGGAGTTAATGGGACAGAGAGGGAGTGGGCATTCCAGACAGCGCAAGAGCCTGTGCGGACACTGGAGGAGCGGAAGCAGCCTACGGTTCAGTTCAGGCCGGCAGGAACGAAGGGCATGTGTGGGGGAGCACTGGCATGGATCGGGTGGGAGAGGTGTGGACTAGAGGGGTGGGCCTTTATCCCTCCTGCTCTGGGGTGCCCCAGAGGCTCTTGGGGGAGGGGTGTACTCCAATTCTGCTCAAGGAAAGTCCTGAGAGGTTGAGAGTTGGGGGAGGCTAGATTGGAGGAGCTGGGAGCTGCTCAGTGGCC